CCCAAGCTTCGACAATACCGTATTCCGGATCTCAACACTAATTTCTGTAAACTCTTCTCTTTTCTTGCAGTGGGTCTCTTGAGAGATCACTTGGTCCTACAACACAATTGGATCGATGAGGAATCCTTTATGGAACTATTTGCCTTGGGACAAGGTTTGCCGGGCCCCAGTTCCACACAGTTGGTCATTAGTACGGCTGTCACTCATGGTGGGCCGTTGGGAGGAATCATTGCATTCTTCTTTTGGTGCTTACCAGCATTTACCATCCTTACCATTAGTGGGTTGTTCCTCTACAGTGTCGTGGATCCCAGCAGTCCACCCATTTGGCTTTTGGGAATCCCTCCGGCAGCAGTGTCCATCATCTTCAAGGCGTTCTATGCGTAAGACAGTACAGTACAGTACAGTACAGTACAGTACAGTACAGCACAGAACTACCACTATCACAAGATACTGCCCTCTCACCAACCAACCAAAACTCTTCCTTGTTCTCTCGTCTCTACTACCGGTATAGATTTGGCTTGACTTTGGACAAACTGGGAACTGCATTGGCCATGCTGGCATGTACCGCAGCCGTCATGATCAACGGAGATGAACACATCCCCAAGACCAGCAGTCAAATCGTATACCCAGCTCTCCTTATACTGGGAGGATTGACAGCTTACTTGGACTATTCCATTTTGAAAGACAAAGCCATTGGGAACTACAGCAATGTCAAACCAAACGATAGTGGCGAACGAACCGCCAAGGAACGCAAGTTGATCAAAAAGGTTGGGATCCCCATTTACGCTGGAGTTTTGATGTTCCTCCTTTGGCTCGTTCTATTCGTGGGAAGCATCACACTGGTCAACCTTGGATACACCAATGAATATCTCCAAATCTTTGAAGTGTTCTTTCGCATTGGAAGCATCATTTATGGTGGTGGCGTCGTGGTATTGCCCATGCTCCAGAGTGAATTGGTACCACGGGGATGGATGACCAACGAACAATTCTTTCAGGGTCTCGGATTGACACAGGCCATGCCCGGTCCTCTTTTCAACTTTTCCAGTTTCTGTGGAGCAACGTACAAGGGGGTGCTGGGAGCCTTTATCGCCGAGATTGGGTTGTTTGGACCCGGATACATTCTCATCTTTGCCATGGTCCCGTTCTGGACCCGCATCCGTCACATGGCCTGGTTCAAAGTTGTACTCAAAGGTGTCAATGCTTCCGCGATTGGATTGATTGGATCGGGATGTGTCTTTCTCTACGCTGCCGCTGTGAAAACCGCTGCCGATGCCATGGTCTTTGTCATTGCGGGAGGATTGGTGTCATTCTACAATGTACCCGTCCCGGCTGTGATTGTCGTGGGAGCCGCTTGTGGTGCGCTCTTTTCGTCGTCTGTCCTCGATGTCGGACAAGTGAAGTATCATTAAGAAACGAAGGAAGGAATTCACGTTGGCATTGCGCACCATCCGGTCAAACACGCACCCACAATCAGCATGTTCGCGGTGCACTATGTACTGTTGGTTGCTAGCATCTAGTATTGAGTTTAGCTTGGATTTTCTTCCTTCTCGCCACAACATTCCTGAGCCATTAAGCTCGTCCCTAGCTAGCTCTGCGTTCCCCTCGCATGACCATGATCTGTAGCAGCAAGGAGATAGGCTATAAAGCACACATTGGAGCTTGATACTATCTGGCCAGATGGGCTACTACAGTTACGAAACAAGACCATCCATGCTGGTATTGGCAAGGAGATACCGGTACGGTGGGCCATGACCGGCTGTTCTAGCAGACTCGACTCAGGCGATCCAAAGGTTTACGGTGTGGTTAGCTAGCTCACGCAGCTGCACAGCGACAAAGCCTGGCACGCGTAGTCATCGTATGAATAGCCACGACGGAAAAGGGATGGTGTAGACCATGCTGTTTCCCCAATTTCTACGGAACGTTGCACGACATCTCACCCGGAGACGTAGCTAGCTAGTTTTGTAGCAAATCCTCTCGTGTCTCTGACAGCCACCTCCTCCTCGGACGCACATGCCCATCTTGGTGGATCCCGACGAGGGAGACAAGATCAAGGCAGCATCAGCCGAGCTCCTCTTCATCCCTCACTGCACAGGCCATCCCAGCATGCACAAGCTGCAACGCATGGCTAAGGCACCTGACATCGTGCAAAATGCCCACATGCTCAGCCTGCATGTTCGGGAAAGCCACTACGGCCGTCTCGAAGAGCACGGAGAGGGAAGAAGTCCAAAACCGGGAAAGAGGCCCAAGACGGCGGGACAGGGGCATGGTAGACTTGGATCAAACTGCGTCACCAAAAGCAGGAATGACAACGCACCCAGTGGCAGGTCGACCGACAAAGCAGAGATAGAAGTATGTCACCACATCCGTGGACCACGCGACCGGATATGGATTCGTGCATCTGCAAAAGACTCAATCGACAGCGGAATCACAGACGCACCTCAGACAGCTAAACCGGCCCTGGCTCTGTGTTTTGAACCCAAGCCACAGATGATTCTCCTTTGATCTTTTGGCTGCTTCCTGAAAGGACCCTTTTTAAAGTTTCTTCCTCGTTCATCATTGGGGCATTATGTGATGCAAGAGTCCAGATTGAGATCTGAGCTTGCCGAAGGAAACTTGCCTCTGAAAGGCGAGGTGCTTTCTCGCCTAGCCAGACGGAAAATGAACTGGAATTGTCTCGGTTGATGGCATGATTGCCCCCCAAGCCAATTTTTTTTTCAACGCCTTGCTTCTGTCAAACAAAACTCTGACTTACACTGTCAAATGATTTTTTTTTAAATGCAGACCCACATCTCGTCAAGTTCAAGCCCTGTTGCCCCCATACTGGTCCTCAACTCATTGCCCCCGATCCCACTGAACCTAGTTCTGAATTTCGACTCTTGGCCTTCGCCGGCTTCACTAGTAGATAATCTATTACCTACTCTAAACCCCCTTTAGCTCTAACCCCCTCCCCGTTATAATAAAGCAGCCAGCTGCTTAAAAATGAAGGATGGCGGATCCGGTGGTGTTGCCTAGAAGCCTATTGGATCCTATTCGGTGAGCTCTCCGTGACTGCTGTGTACAATAGAATTCTCTATGCATAGCATATGGCATGTGCAAATATTTTCAATGACTCGACCAAGTAAATTGCTTGAAAATGTGAACCCAAACAAACCAACGAGCGGAGCACTATGACATATAAGGGTGAAACCGGTACGGAAGCTCAATATTGAAGCTTCGGGACCAGGGAACAGGGAACTGGAAAGATCGAAAGATCCAATAATTACATTACTTTGAAGAAACTTCAAGGATTTAATAAAAGCTTAAATAAAATCAGGGTTTATTAGGAGTACTCTTAAAAAGGTGGATTATCTAAGGACAACTTCAACTCGTGTCAATATCTAAGAACCGAGAGATGCAGCCAACGATGCTTGGTTGGTATTTACTGTATTCCTTACTGCCATGAGGTCAGTAAAAGGAGCAGTAATGGCAGTAATGCAGTAATTCCTCAGTAGCAGTAATTATGCACAGTAATTTAAAGCCAATTGAAGGCAGTAAACTACAGTAATTGCAGTAATAAAGGCTAATTACTGTGCTTTTACTGTCATTTACTGGATATTACTGTTGCAAAGGCAGATTACTTACTGCATGGGATTACTTACTGCAGTAATTAGGTGGCCAACAATGGCAGTAATTGGACAGTAAGGAGCCAGTAACCCGGATTTACTGCAGTAAATACCAACCAAGCAACGATGAGAGATCTAGATCTACAAGAAAAAGCCCAAGGATCGATGCAGATAGACTGCATGCCCAGGTAAAGGACAACTTCGACTGGTGTCAACATCGATATATATCCAAGAACCGAGACATGCAGCCGACTACGAGAGATATAGATCCCAAGGATCATAACGGGGAAAATTACTATGCGTTATTGAGAGCTAAGATGAGGATGGGGATAAAGCCAAGGATGCAGTACGATTCATCAGAAAGGGAAAGAGAGGTCCACCTATTCCTGGACAAAGCCGAGCATGGAAACTGGGACTATGTAGAGGCATGGCTATGGTCCGATCCATCCAATGTATCCCGCATAAACGACGTGCCCAGCGGACGCTGGTCGGCTCTCCACCAAGCCGCCTTTTGGGGGGCAGAAGAGGTGGCGATGATGCTGGTACGATTTGGGGCTGACCCAACGCTAAGAAACAGAGAAGATCAGACTCCCTCCGAAGTTGCAAAGATCGGCGGATACAGCCATCTGGCAGAGTTGCTTGGCGACATGGCTGCATGTTCGGAGAAGCCCAAGAAGCTGGGCACTCTTAGAGTTCTGCCCAGGCAACAAAACCCTGATATCTCCAAGAAGTCACAAGAACAAACTTCCAGGCACTCTAGGGCTGAACTATTGACGTTATGCAAGAGTAATGGATGGGCCTACAAAGATGCTTCGCGGAAATTCAAGGCAGATACGGAGATTGCACAAGCGGCTTGCTCCAATTCTGGACTTGTTCTGGAATTTGCGCCACCCAGAATACAAAACACAAAAGACGTAGTCATTGCGGCCTGTTCCCAAGATGGAAATGCCTTACAATTTGCTTCTCTGAAATTGAAAAACGACCGCGAAGTTGCCCTGGTAGCTTGTTCCCAGAATGGTCATGCGCTACAATTTGCTTCCAAGAAATTACAAAAGGATCGAGGTTTTGTGATGAGTGCTGTTACAGCATCACGGAAAGGAAAGAAGAACTCTGCATACAACCATGCTCTAGAATGTCACAGAGAAGATCGAGACATTGCGATTGCTGCTCTACACAATTGTGGTGATGCATTGGAGTTTGCTCCTTGGGAGATAAAAGACGACGAGGAAGCGGTCTCAATAGCTTGTCGTCAAAATGGGCGGGCACTTGAGTATGCTTCGTTTACGTTGAAAGACAACAAGCAACTTGCAATGACAGCATGCTCGAATGATGGTCTTGCCCTTCAATTCGCTTCCCCAAAGTTGAAGAGCGATAAAGAGGTGGTTTTGGAGGCGTGCTCCAAGGATGGATTTGCTCTGCAATATGCCTCTGTCGAACTTAGGGCCACTAAAGAGATTGTGGTGGCTGCTGTTGAATCCAATCCAGAGTCTCTGAAGTTTGCCCTAGCAGGGTTGAACCAAGACAAAGATTGCTTGATTAAGGCTCGATTGTGGGACGAAGATTATCACAAGGATCAAAAGGTCAAGGGCGCTGGTGCACAGGCTGATGCAAACAAAAAGACGGTTGTTCTGTCTACAAAGTTCTCCCTCACAGCTGATAGTTCTGCTCACGCCACCAGATTCACAGTGGAACTGAAAAAGCATCCCTACATTGCAAGTGGGGACTTTCGTGTGTATTCACCAAATGCATTTTCCAAAGGAACCTGTGATCCACAGTGGACCGACAAGACTTGGCCCTGTCGAGGGACCTTTTCGTCATGCCAAAATCCACCTTACTTGAAGTCGGGGATGCCCCAGGCCAAATCTTGCTGGAGATACTCATTTAGATACCACTTGGAAGAAGCTTCCTACTCTGGTGGATTCATGATCCAAGTGGCTGACCTCTTGGATTATGCAAAGGAAAAGGACCCAATCTTGGATCATACATTGGGCGATGGACAAATGATAGAATCAAAAATGGCCTTGGTGGTGGGTATCAAGGTGTTTAGATTCTTTGAACCAATGCCTGGAAGAGAATCATCATATGCTAGTACTGTGGACCTTTTGGTTTCCAAAATCAAGAGTTGGTATGATGAAGGCTGCAGTAACATGACTGAGTGCAACGTTCCTATCCAATCGCCCCTGGCCCAAACTATGGCAGCAAGAGCTGCCAGAAAGACAGTGAATTTCTAGTCCATTGAGCAACGATTGTGATTATAATGCGCAGTGTACTTTTAAGCCAGGAGCCTCTTGCTCTTCGGCGTTTGTGGCACGAACCAACGAGAATGTAGGCCGTCGAAACTTCTGTTGTATTCACTGCCTAAAGATCTACCGTAGTAATACATTGACACTTTCATTTGTGTGAAGCCATGATTTAATTGCAAAGTTTGGTTCCTGTTGGCATTGGTTATTGCCTTTCGTACGGTGTGGGCTGCAGCTTTGTGAATCGTTCCAGAATTGGCTGTACACAGTCACCCATTCCAGATTCTTTAGACGTAGATAGGGCTGGGAATCCACATTGAGATTCCTCCAGTGCAGGGGCCAACCATAAGAACTTTCGGTGTTGGGGTCGCCTCTAAAAGTGCTGGGGGCTGGGGGCTACGAACCATTGCTGACATTGCAGTGCTGGGGCAAGCTTGGGGGAAGAACCAGTGCTGGGGATACCATTGAAGTGCACACAGTGCCGTCAGCATGCTCGCGGTGTACCGGTAGCGTCGGTTGCACCGTACAATGTCTTGACTTTGGCTTGGTGTTGCTTCCCTTCTTGCCACAACATTCCTGAGCCATGAAGCTCGTCCCTGGCTCTTATGCTGTCCTCGCAAGACCATCTCTGTACGGTATGTCTAGCGGCCAGGAGGATAAGACCATCCGCCAAGGTGCATCTATTAATACATGTAATTATTAAGCAATCTATGAAGTACTCCGAGTTTTTGGAGCTCGAAGCATAATTAGAATAGAGCTGAGGGTTGACAGCAATGACTGTGATGGGATAATGACCTGGGACCGCAATGGATTACAGGAACTTTTACTTAATAGTACTGATCAGAGCAGAGGGAAATCAGAAATGGGCAAGTTGATGGCTACTTTTGAGTGGGAACTCCAGTGGACCGCCATCATCGATGAGAACGATAGGATATTTGCGATTGCGTCAGGATGGTACCATATCTCATCTGGGCAGCCTGGCAGCCTTCCGCTCATGTTCGTTTTGGTCACTCCTGCATTGCAGTTCACTGTCATCCAACTGCCAGTTTCGCGGACACCCACGAGGAGTTTCTTGTTGTAGAACAGGTGCACCGTGCTTTGGTTCTCGGTTGTATTCATAGTCGTGAGGGTGAAACCGGTGTAGGCACTGTCGGTTTCTGCCGCGTTCACGAGCAACTGAACGGCGTCCTCTTCCTGCGCTGTTGTTGCGTTGGGACAGTCCCCTGCGAAGTGCCCACTCTATTCTTTCCATCCACGAGCCCCGTGTAGTGTTGTTGGAGGCCGGTACATCGCGTTCGTCGGGTCGACAGTCAATTCCCGAAGGAAAAGGACGACGCTGGTACAGTTTGTGGGACTTCCTTGCGACGGATCGAAAACCGCGTACATTCCATGTGCGAGCTCGCGAAAGCCACTGGGCTGACTGCCGCCGAACTTCGACTATGGTCACGAATATGTTCAAAGATGAGGTTCTTCATGGACAAGAGATTCTGATGAGACAGGGAAAAGACAGTGCAGCTTTATGTCATGCTTTTCCCCAAAGGTCTCGAACGTGAATACCAAGGCGCTGACGCTCACGGTTGCCCAGGTGAACAGCGTTTGAAAAACAAGGCTGCCGGCCTCGAGGGGCCCTTTCGTGGATCCTGTCCCCATCGTTCTCGCTCCGCCCCTCCCTGTCGTTAGTATTTTTCTGGGATCTGTCGCCACTCCCATTGTGTTCCCTGGAAGTTTGTCAGTTGGATATTATAATGAATCGCAGGCTGCACATGAAAGTATCCTTCCGCCAGGTGCTCTTGCCATTGGAAATCCAGCTCCTCAATCCCAGGTGTTGAGAAAAGTACTATTGGTAATGTCAAAAGACCCATCCGCTTCAACCAAAACGTTCACTGACAATTCAGAGAAAGGGATGCCACCGCCAAACGAAAACAACACAGTTTCATTCACTGCCGTCAGAGTGACCCATGCCTCCTTGCGCCATTTCACCAAGCCAATGTCATACAAACTAAACACAATCAATCTGTACATTGTCCTTGGAGTAACTGCAAGGAGGGAGGAGTAGACATGCCATGCCTTTGCCAGTGGACCAGAGTCGATCAACGTCTCATACATGTTTGTGGCATTGGACTCTTGCTGCCAGATCCACTGCAGTCCATCAGCATATGTATCAGTTAAGATGTTGAACATGACAGCACCATCCATTGTTGGAAACCGTCCAGGCCAATCTGGTGGATCTTCCACAACGTCAATGCATGTGGAGACCAGAGTTACATTTGCTGCACAATCACACGCCAGATCAGAACAAAGATGCTCTGGGACAGCTCCAGAGAAGTTATTCCCATACATGAGCAAGTGCAATCCCATGGATGTATTCAGTTGCTGGGGAAGTGTTCCTGTCAGCCTGTTGTTGCTAACATCAAATGTTATTAATGAAGTCAGCATACCAACTTCCGTTGGAATCTGGCCACTAAACTGACTTCCAGAAACATTAAGATTTGTCATGGCGGTCAAGAGACCAAACTCAGAAGGGATGGTGCCACTCAACTGAGTTCCGGGCAGGAGCAGTTCAACCAAGCCAGTTAAGAGTCCAAGCACAGAAGGAACAGAGCCAGTCAATAAATTTGGACCCAGTGAAATAGTTCTCCAGCCGGTTGCTTTTCCAAACTCAGTTGGGATTTGCCCAGTCAGCCAGTTTCCTCCCAAACGTAAGCTTCCTGTCAGATGTGCAAGTTCCAAAGGGAGCTGGCCCGAAAACTCATTTTCACTCAATCTCAACAACAATCTCAACTTGCTCAGAAGCCCCAGCTCAGAAGGTATTTGACCAGACAACATGTTGTCCACAAAATTTAGATTCTTCAAAACAATCAGTCGTCCAAGTTCGGATGGAAGAGGACCTGTGTGCTGGTTGTTCGGGCTTGAAAGTGTAGTCAAGGCAGTCAACTGAGCGAGCTCCGATGGAAGCTGGCCTGAAACTTGGTTCTGGTTGTAGTATAAGGCTGTCAAAGCTGTCAGTAGTCCAATCTCAGAGGGGACATGACCTGTTACCTGATTGAGCATGAATCTGAAACTAATCAACGCACTTAGCTGCCCGAGCTCTGAAGGAACTGGGCCTGTCAGCAGGTTATAATCCAAGTGAATTCTTTTCACAGCATTCAAGTGTCCAATCTCTGTAGGGACTTGGCCAATCAACAGATTTCTCCCCACCTCCATGTAAGCCACATGACGCATTTTGTAGAATGCAGATGGCATCATATCAGCCAAAGTGATTTCAATTTCATTAGCTTCCATTGAAAACGTGGTCAATGCCGTCAACAGCTCAATCTCGGGCGGGACCACCGGTGTCAAACCTGATAGCTTGAGGTCTTCAAGCCAAAGAGACACAAACTGTCCATGGTCATTGCAGGAGAACGTTTTTGGCTTCCGTTCCCTGTATTCGAAGTCGTAGTCGTGGCCATACATATAATACGCAGCTGAATAGGTGAACGAGCCAACTCCAGAAGAATACCACTCGCACTCTTCCACTGTGTCATCCATCCACCTTTCTCTGATCGGTTGCCACCAGTTTTCTCCTTGGAATGAGTAGAAGAAAGTGGCAAGAGCAAAGAGCTGGATTTTTCTCCATTCCGGTAGATTTGTGATGTTTTGGTGATTGGCAAGCCAGTTCCATGCTCTCCACTGTGGAGTGTGACTGCCATTGTTGATGCTGGCCAAGGTGTAATCCGGCAGATTATCCAACATGACATCAAGAACTCCGGTGGGTGCAGAGGAAGGAACCTCGGACGGTTCCATAGAGCCAAAAACAGTAGGGGTTTCCGTAGATTGCAAAATCTGTGGTTCTTTGTTCTTCTGTGTGCCCACCACAAATCCAACAATAATGGCAGCAACCAAACACAACCAGAGTGTGACAGCAATAAAAGATCTTTGCTGCTGTTTCTTTTGGTCTTGCCTTGGCTGTCCCGCTTCCATATCAACCGGACTGGCGTGCATCAAGATGGCCATGTCTTCTTCTTCTACCGGATTGGCCACTGCCAGCCCATGGTCACCACCATTTGTAGTACTAGTAGTGGTGGTGGGCAACTGCAGTTGAGTAGGGGCAGTAGTATGGGCACCAGCAGCCACAAGCCCAAGATTAAGATTTTCCACCCGCTGTAAGTGATCACCATGGTAGGCTCCAGGTCGACTTTGTGGCATGCTCACACGGTTGGCTCCCCTGGGCACTGTTGGGGCCAGTGGAAGTGGCTCAATGTCGGCAACGGCTTGGTTCAGATGACTCTGGATTCTAGCACGGAATGCATCAACGGAAGTGGAGTCCAAGTTGGCGGTGGGTGTCGAATCATGTTGGTTTCCTTTCTCTTCTGTACTGCCAGTATTATCGGTACTAGATGAACGAGCAGTTGCTGTCTCTCCTTGGGTGTCTTCTATCTTCGGGTCTTTCTTGGCGTCGTCTTTGGTTGCGCCATTGTCTTTGGTTGGGACTTCCTCCATTGCCTCCTTGTCGTCCTTAGAGTGACAGTCGATCATAGTGCTGTTGGTGGACATGATGGAAGTACTAGTATTGTGGGGAGATACTTGAATTCGATCAAGAAGAGAACGAAAAAAACACTCGTCGGGACTGTGTCTTGGTATCTCATCTCAGAACGACTTTGTTCTTTTATTTTCTTCTGAACTTTTTTTCTTCTTCTGTTCTTTGCTTCGGTAGATAATTCCCCACTCTAAAAACCATAAAACATATAAAATGAAAAAAAAATAGTTTACAACTGGACTGTTCTTTGACAGCTTTCAGCTACTAGCTAGCCAGCTTTTCCCGTTGGTACACTAGCGACTCAATACTTCACTCAAGTACGTACCGTTTGCCATTGACGTCAGTTTTATCGGTTTCCTTTTTTCATGCCACTTTCTGCATGGCGCTTGCAAGTGCAAGCCACGTATTATAGCCAGCCAGCGGAACACTCAGCTTTGTTTGCTGTTTGTTGATGGTAAATGGATACGACTTTGGG